AAAAAAATATGACAATATACTATGACCAAGTATTATTCATTTCAGGAATGCCAGAAATCTTAGAAAATTTAAGGAAATCTAGGAATCTTAGGAAATCTATTAATGTTGTAGTAATAGAATCTTAGGAAATCTATTTATGTAATAATAGAGCTTAAAGGTAAAGTCAAATCCAAATCATTATCACCATAGATTCTGAAAAAAATCTTTGACAAATTCAATACCCATTTCTAGTAAAAACACTCTAAACATAGGAATTGCAGATTACTTTCTTATCGTAATAAGATATGTATGCTTTAGTTTTAAAGTCAGAATTTTACTTAAGGCAAAATTCTAGAGATCTTTTCACTAGAATCAGGAGCAAGGTGAAGATGCCTGCTATTCCATTAGTACTTGGTATTATACTATAGGTATTAGCCAGTATAGTTAGATAAGAGTTAAGTCAATTACAGGCACAGATTAACATACAGAAATTAGTAAGTTTCAACAACAATAGTCAGAACATAACAGGAAAAAATTATATTTATAGTGTTCAGCAAAGTAGATTAAATACTTAGGAATAAACTTAAGAGAGATACTGACTCAACAGTATAAAGATGTTGATTCTTCTTAGTATAACGAACATCAGTACAAAAATACCAACAAACTTTTGGTAGGAGTTAGCTAAGTTGATATGGAAAGCATGTTAGAACTCCTAAGATAAAACAGGGATGGGAGGGTTGTGTGGATTATACTAACCCAGTAAAACTTGTATAGTTAAAAATGTGGTAATGACATGTGAATAGACAAATAGGTCAGTGAAATATCCGAGAAAGCCCAGGAATGGACCCAAGTACATGTAGAAACTGAGTATATGATAAAGGTATTATTCTTAAATTCTTGGGGCCTGTAATGTCCATCCCATAAATAGAATGTTCTTGGCCCTTCCTTCTGTAAATCTATTCCAGCAGTCTCTTTTGTTGGTGGTGGTGGTGGTGGTGGTGATGGGTTGGAGTGTCTAGTCCATTTATATTTAATTTGATTATTGATATGGTTGGATAAAGTTAGCTGTCATTCTTACTGTTTCCTTTGTATTCTATTGTTTTTCTCTGGTGGTTTTTGAAAGGTTTTTCTGTTTATATTTGGTTTTCAATAATTTGACTTCAGTGTGCTCCGATATTGGTTTTTCCTTTATACTACGTGTAGTTTTTTAAGTCTGGAGTTTGATATCTTTTATCAGTTTTGGAAAATTCTCAGCCAGTGAGTTTTCAAATATATTTTCTGCTCCACTGTTTTTCTCTTCTTCTTGGACTCCAATTAATGTATGGTAGACTATATGCTATTGCCT